TCATCAAGTCAAGAAAAACCTGTAGCAAAATATTCCAAGCCCTGAAAGAAAATAACCTCCATCCCAGATTGATATACCCTGCTAAACTATCTCTAGAAATTAATGGAGAAACAAGATGCTTCCAAGACAAAGAGGAACTTGGGAAATTTACAACCACCAATCCAACTCTACAGAGAATACTGCAGGGCATTCTAAAGAGAGAGAAAAGTACTAGGATTCCAGGAACAGTGGCAGAGAGGCCTCAATGCCTGGAGCAGAAAACAGAATGAAGAAGGTAAAGAGACAACTGATGATATAAAAAGAGCATAACAGAAATGAGGCAGAGAAGATTTTATTCAAAACTGCTATGATTGATAGTATCAAGTCTGAGAGTATAGGCAACTACACTGAAGATGACAAGACTCTACAATACACATTCTGGTTTGATAACTGCTGGTTTTTGAAGTTCTATACTATATACAAAGTTGTGTTTTTATTAATACTGTTAGGCACTGATATATTCCATTATACTATGTCTGATGATATAGCCAATTCTATTGGAGATAATTAGATAACACAGGAACCATGGTACAATGATTTTCACAACAGTCTTATATGTTTATTTTGTTTCATGTGTTTATAGCGATATGTTTGGTTTGGCTTGCTTTGTTTTGTTTCTCCCTCTACTATAGAAAGGATAGAAATACATGTTAAGACTCATGCATGTGTAGAATCTATAAACAGTTTATGAGAACTGACCTTCTGACACATCATGAAATAAACAGATACTTTGAAGAAAAAGAGACACTAAAATACTCAGTGCTGATCCTGGAGTGTCATAATGTGAAACCCAGCAATAGTATTATTCTTTGTTCAGAGTGATACTAGCCTGCTTGGGTTTATTCAATCTCAATATAATTGAAGATATGGATAACTGCATATATGTTTAAGTATATAGGATTGATAACCATATTTCTAAGTTTTTGTTGGATAATTGAACAGAACTGGTTGCAATCTCACTGTTTGATTTCCCACTTTATATGCTCCACTGTAGTATCTTGAATAACTATTTGTAAGAAGACAATCTGTAATCATCTACTAGTGATTTCTTACTGTTTATTTTTTCTTTGAAATTATGTATTATTTCTACCCGTGTTCTATTTAGTCTTTCTTTAAATTAAATTAAATTAAATAAAAAAAAGACACTATATTACCCAGTGCCGATCATGAAGTATCATGATGTGAAATCTAGCAATACTAGTATGTTCAGAATGATTTTAATATGCTTTAGTTTGTTTAAACTAAACATAAATGAAGATATAGATAACTGCATGTATGGTTAAGTGTAAAGGATTGACAACCATGTTACCAAGTTTTTGTTGGACAGTTGAACAGAACTGTTTGCAGTCTCGCTGTTTGAATTCTCACTTTACATGTTCCATTTTTGTATCTTGAACAACTATTTGTAAAACAATAATATGTAAACATCAATTAGTGATTTCTTACTGTTTATTTTTTTCTCTGAACATATGTATTATTTCTACCTATTTTCTGTTTTGTTTAGTCTTTCTTTACATAAAAATTTTAAAAAAAGAGACAAGCTAGTTATGCAAAAGGGTGTCATGTGACATCAATTTGACAAACATATAAATAAAAATGCACCATGGTGGCTGAGCAGTTCTTTTCCTCTCACCCAGAGTGAGGGCTCCATCTGATCTATATTGTGTCTTATCTTTATTTATCCATCTTCTCACCATCCTTTCCACCAGGAATTTTGAGAGCTACACTGGATGCAGCAAGCCTGTATGCAATATAAGGGAGGAAAAAAGAAGCTTGTTCTCTTCCTCTTCTTGTTCTTGTTGTTTTTTCCTGTCTCTGCCTCCTTGAACTGTTCTCCCACACCGTGCCACCCTGCCTTGCAGCCAGCTGATTATGTACTGAAACTTCCACAAACTGGGAGCTAAATAAACCTTTCCCTCTTTAATTTTGAGGGTCTGGTACTATAATCCAGCAACAAAAGAAAATAACTAAAATATTGTTTTTCCTTCTTTTCTCAGAAATATTCCTACTTTTATCAATGGTCCTTTCACATGCTCAATTTTCTTCTTTAAAACTCTGAAGTCACTCTCCTAGCTATATTTAATCTGTGATCATTACACATTGTTATCAGTCAATGATTTACAAACCTGCCTCTCATTCTCATAAGCACATACTAATCAACTCAGATGAAATTCTATGTCAAGCATTCATCTTAGGCTAGTAGCAAATCTATACATTCATGGAAACTGTTACTAATTTTAGTTTTCCTAATAAATCTACTACTGAAGTAAACCTACAAATTCTACATAGTAAGGATTCCCCAGCTGCCATGACAGATGTTGGATTTGGAGTTGTTTGACATTAGGAAGATAAGATAGAAAAAATATATTATTTCCATTGGAGTTGGGATGAAGGGGTAGTGAACCACAATCTAGCAGAGGCTAATAGTATTACAAAGTAGGGAAGATTGGATACAGTATGTTAGGTCTTTGCAGCAGACAATCTAACTGCTGTGTGGATGTTTTGCTGGTAAATATACCTATACGTTGTTGTTTTGAGGCCACAGACAGTGGAATAGCACCAAACATTACAGGAATGGAGACTCTGATAGTCTGAGCTATAGTGAAAGTGAGCAGACTATCAAGAGTTCCACCTATACTGAATGGCATGATAAGGAGCTAGTCAAAGAGAGCTGTAAGACCAGAACATGGTATAAGTGCTATAAAAATTGATTACATCAAACTGAGTCCTCACTTACAAAAAAAATGAAAGCACTAGACGAGATATCTTCATAATAAGGTTTCCTGGGTAGGAAGATCACAGGAAGTAATGTGTTAGAGAAAGTAAGGTCGCTTTCCCCTGCTGCAGGACTCCAAAGGGCAGAGAAGCAGGGCTCATTTTAGGAAAAATTAACTGATGGCCACTCTGGCTCAACCAACTGGTCCCACCTATAGACAAAGTGGGGAAATATTCACTGAAAACAAAACAAACAAACAAAAAAGCACCCCATTAAAAATAGACTTGATATTAGAAAACAGATTTTTCAGATTTTCCTCTAATACTGGTATTCATTTAAAAAAATTCTTGTTTACATCATTAATAATTATTTTGGTGTAATAGTCTACGATTGTAACTATTTTTGAGAGCATGAATCTTCTACAACGTAAATTTCTGACTTCTCAGCTAGTGTTAATTCCAGAAAAGGTTAAAAGTCCAGCCCACAAATACAAAGATGTGCCTCTCTGTGTCAGAGAAAAAGGACACGAGTATTAAGGATGAGCCTTGCACAACCACTTGTTCAAGGTATCTGGAGTCTTGGTGATCAGAAATTATGTGACAAACAAAGGTGAACAAAGTGGAAGAAAGACTTTTGATTTTAAAGTGCGTTATAATAATGTACTAAGCTCACAAGCAGCAGTGATGATCAAAGGGTTTACAAAGCTGAAACATCTCCTGAGAGGTTTCGAGATGCACTGTGGTCATTTTGTCTTTCACTTACTTCCCCAGCACAGCGGCGAGCACTTCCAATGTGACCAAAACGTGTGGAAGAAATTGATTAAATGACTAAAGAGGAAGTGCGAGCTGTGTTATACAACATAGTGATACAATGTCAATAAATCGCCTTTGCATCTTACACAAAGCAAAGCTGAATTCACTCAGTTAACTCTTGAATGATAAACGTCAGGACCTGGTAGCTCACTGACATGGTGGAGGCAGAGTAAATTCTATCACAGGGAGGAACATGTGAATGACCCTGATTACCTTACAACAGAGAAAGATGTTGAGTGCAAGCATTTGCTTTCTCCTGGATCAGCAATCAGATTCACCTGAAGATCACTGATTCATGAACAGCACTATACACTTACTTTGCATTTTCAAGTAGTCAGAACTTCTTAAGTGTTTATGCCACAAGCACACTCAGCAACTCTCTCTTCCTGCAGTGTGGAATTCCCTTGATTTTTATCCTGACAGCAATCAAAATTTCCTTCAGGACTAATGTTCTTTTATCAATACATTTTTTAATTAAGAAAAGCATTTGTACTTTTCTAGTGACTTAAGGTAATTTGAATGGCAAATCCATGCACATAGGTTCAACTGTACTCACTGTATATGCAATGCAAAGGTTGATTTTATTTTTGAAACAAAAATAAGTATATGGCATGAGATGATTCAGTCATGAAATACCTGCCCTGATTTCTATGCCTCGATTAACATGTCAATGGAAGTCCAATAAGAAAATACAGACAAAAAAACTAGCAGTCTCAAATGAAACTTGCTTAAGTTTTCAACATTCATTTAATAACAGACATGTCTAACTTAAAGAGGTTGGAATAATTTGAATCAATTCCCGAAAATCAGTATGGCTCACAAGTTTTGAAAAATGATGAGCATTAGGTAATGTGAGGGATTTTAATACTGGAAAGATAAAGGAAATGGTAAATTGAACATTAATATTTATTACGGAATTTGGAATCAAGAACAATTCAGGAATTAAAAGGTCACATCGGCTTCACTGGTTACACCTATTCTGCTTTTATTTCCTCCAACCTTCCTATCGTTCAATCACTCATATGAAATTATTCATAACTGATTTACTCCAGTGGGCAGGAGTTTATTTCCTCATCCTGTTTCTGACAAATATCCTCAAAGCCTTTGCACCATAGCTATCCACTGAGCAAGTGAAATGAAATGGGAATAAAAGGGAGAGAAGAAAAAGAGTTATGTTCAGCTCAGAGCTGAAAGGTGGAGTTCATGAATAGCTCAAAAATCCCCTTAGAATTCTGCTGCTAACTAGAGGGCTATCCAGAGGCTTTGTCTAAAGGATAAATGAGCAAACAAAATCAAAAAAAGATAAAACAAAAGCAAAACCTCCTTGGCATCAAGTGTCACATGAATGTCTCCTAGAAGTGAACCGTTTTATTTGCTGCTAAGCAACCAGCCTTTGTCGCCCAGGCTACTGATTCCTTTCCTGCTGCTCTTACCTGATGGGTGCACCTTTGGCTTGCGCTGGTCTTAGCAGCACGGTTATTGTGGTTGCAGTTTCATTAAGGGAGGCATCAACTCCTTCATAGTCAGGTAGGGTTGGAGCTGTTAAGTGATCAAGAGAGAACAACACAGGTTCAATTAATTGCAATAATACACCTAGGTCAGTATGAATAACTGATCCTGATTTAAGGAAAAAATCAATATAATCCTTAATTATTGACCTTCATTATCCACCATGTGTCTTATGTGATAGCGTAACTTTAACCATTACATCCTAAACACAGGAACATAAAGCATCAAGTCAGAAAGACAAAATTATCATTGAAGTTTTCTGGTGTTGAAATAACCTGGTGATTTATGGTATATTATAAATATTTCAGTTAAGATGCTTCTATTTTTAATTTTCTGAGACCTTTTTTCTTTTTCTTTTCTTCTTTTCTTTCTTTCTTTTTTTTTTTTTGGTACTGAATCAAATTTCTGAGATCTTTAAATCAACAAGGAAAGGATGGGAAGAAAATAGTAAGAGCAAACTGGGAAGAGTGTTTGTGGGGTGACATGTGGAGATACAGATCCACACTGGAGCTAGGGAAGGAGTAGCTGAGGTGAAGGCTGCTTAGTGAGACCATGCCATGTTCTGAAATTTGTAGAAAAACGGGATTGTTCTCTGGATATTTTCATTACTGTGATCATCATGGAAACACAGCAAGCAAGTGCAGTGAATAGGAAAAGGGGTTTTGGTTTTTATTTATCAAGAAATAATGTAACAGTTGTCACAAGCTTGAAAAGAAGAATGCATGCACTGGGCGATGTTCAACTCAGGGCTGAGAATTCCAAATCATGAGAAGTGTGAAGGAGTCAACCACAAAAGGATTTCGATGATTTCTTTGTAGAAAGAACTTTAATGGGTGAATAACTAATGAAAGGAATAACTAGTGAAATACGTGCATTATGTGACAAAGGAGACTGACTGACAAGTGATAAATTTTGATAAATTTCATTCATTGATGGACCATTTACTGAACACATAGTACGTACAGTTTTATGGTAAGTGCCATAAATAACACAAAGCATGATCTCTGACATTCATACAATTAAAACTAGGAGTTAATGTTTTATGCAAAGTGGGATATATCAAACTATTAAGTGCTTAAAGAGAAATACAGTTAATTTGCCAAGATAGTGGCTCTCACACTCCTAAGGTTTGAAGAACTTGGAAGGCTTCTTAAATTCCAGATTTCTGCCCTGTCCTGCAATTACTGACTCAGTAGGTCTGGGTAGGGACCATTTCTGGAAAGTTCCCAGTTGAGGCTGCTGCTGGTTTGGAGATGGGACAGTGAAACAAGGAAGACTATACAGTTTAAATGGCTGCTTGAGATGAATCTTAAAAATAAGACTAAAAGTTCAGCAAGAGGGATTTTATAGACTAGCATTTTCTTTACAAAAAGGGACTGAATGGAAAAAGAAAACCAGGAATAGTGACATAAGTAAAGAGATGACTTACGAATTGAGGGCTATTTATGAGGTAGAGTCAACTATTATAATACATGTAATACTTGCACATGTGAATGTACATGTATATATATATCAACACATACATGTAATACTTTGAACTATCACAAATCCAACAACTTGATTTTTTTCTTTTTTTAAAAATGCTTTCAGAATGCTGGGGGATACAGTTACTAGATTCAAAGAATAAATAACAGCAAATTATTTTAAAATTTTAAGTGATGTAGAGAAACACACTAACCATATTTATTATTGACCTTGCCACGATCACTAGTTTTTTCCAACATAGAGTAACAGGACCTAAGTTTGTACAGTATAATAAAGTATTTACTGAATTTACCATAACATAAGTGAAACTGAATTTAAATGAGAAAAAAAATGTTTTTGTTTTAAATTACAAAGTTTTGGTCAACAACTCAGCTGTCAGAAATGTACCCTTATCTAACATCCTCAGTTTTATAAGTTTAAATAAAGCTTTGAGCTACCTCTATGAGAAGATCCTACTCAATTTTGACACAACTTCTAATTCTATAGGGCAAGAACCATGTCTCAGGACATCGTAATATCAGGAAGTCTTATTTTCTAAAACAGCGATTCACTACTTTAAATTGGTGACTACAAACTGTCACACTTGAAAATAAAATGGAAATTTTAATGCACAGTTATTTGCCAAAACAGTGGATGCTATTCTAAAAGGCTCATTTTATTAGAATACTAAGATAAATCAAATGTTATTTAAGGGAACATATTGGAATAGGAAATTTTACATATGATATAAATTGTTGACATTTGTGTTCTATCCAGGACATGACACTGCATGTTCTTCTTGATATAAATGTTACACACTTGATGCAATATTAAGAATTTTAATATTTTGATGTATCACTAACATATGTGAGATGCTATAGGAGAAGGATTGCAATGATTTAAAAGAATTCACAGAAGCAAAGTTAGTATTTACTATATTATGTAGCTTACCTTTAAAACATTTATTTTTAAAATTTACCTCTTTGGTTATATCCATATATGTACTTATATAAACAGAAAAAAGAACAGATTTAGAGCATATTACAATGTTACTGCTTAGCAAGAATTTAATCAGATTTAACTGATAACTGGACTGAAGGCCAAATTACACCTGTAAACAAACTAGTCAAAAAGGACAGAAAGAAAAGGCGGAAACAAAAACCTCTATAAATACGGAAGGTAACAAAGGTTGAAGGGAGTGGAGAGATTGTGAAGAAAAAAGAAGCAAGATATCAAAATTCCCTATAATGCATGTGATCATTATGTACATCTAAAATTTACCAATAAATTTTTAAAAAGTGCAAAAAAAGAGGAAACAATGGGGAAAAAATATCGCCTCAGTTCCTACCTCTGTGTTAAAAAAAATGCAAGCTATAGAATTTTGAATATACTTAAATGTGAAATTTAACTATATTTGTTTACCAACTTAAATTCTCCCGTATGCTATATTCTCATTCTGGAATTTAGATGCATTTATGTGAGGTTTTTAATTAAGAAATGAAAGCTTGAATTTGTTTAACATTGCAAGAATGTTAGAGGAAATGTGAGAAACACAAGCTATACGTTATTCTAATAGAGCAAATTTCCTCTATTGTTCTTTCGATAAAATCCAGTTAGATATCCGATTTGGTAAAAATTACCAAATCCTCAAAAGTATAATTATGCCTATCATCATTCATAATGAACTTTGAAAGATTTTCAATTATCTGCTCTAATGTTTACTAAGAGCACTGTCAATTAAAGGTGATGATTTGACAAGTGCTTGTGTTTGGACATATAACTAATAGTGTGTATTTAAGTGATTTTTCTCAAGTGCTTTCAATCATGCATAACAACCCTGAAGATCAGTAAGCAAGACAAGTTATATGCAGCATATAGGCGAATCCCCAGCACCTGCTACTGCAAACCAAGGGAGTCTGTACCCCACTCTCTTGTATACCTGAGATGTTGGTGGTCACGTTGATGGCCGTGGCTGGCCCGAAGCCTTTGACCGTGCTGGCTCTGATGAAGAACTGGTAGGTTGTCCCTGGGTGCAGATGCATGAAGACATGATGTGTGCTATTCCACAAGTTGGACACAGTCTGGGGAGGGCCAGCCACTGGGACCGCAGGATCAAATGATCTTATGCTGCTATAGCTGACCTGTGGCAAGAAATATATTAGGTATCCCCACTGAGCTCCAATAAACTATAAATAAACCCTTTTTAAATAATGTAAAAAGACATCCTTGAGGAGTCTTTTTTCACTCCTTTCTCTTATTTTGATATTATTTCTATCACTCCACATTTATATCTACTTATCTGTTAATGTCATCTTTCTATCTACAGATACAAATATACATATATCTGAACTGAAAAACACATACATGAAAAAAATACTTTGGTTCTATGTTTTCATGTGTAAAATGAAGGGTTTAGCAAATATTACGTTGTTCAATATCTGTGCAACAGAAAAACAATTTCTGTGACAGTAATCAAATATGCAGTCACAGTCACTACATAAGGCCACACCAGTAGGTCTCTTTCTCCTGATTCCCTTTGTAGCCACTAGAAAAAAAAAATATGGTATAATCAACACTGACTCTGCAGGAACAGAACTACATATTAATGTGATTAAAATCATCCTTCTATTTCTTATTTTTATATTAGAGAATATAACAATTTATATTGAAGGTTGCAGTGGAGGTTGGAACTATGTTTATATTCTGCTTTGCTGTTATCAGACTTATTTCCTACTCTGAAACAAACAACAATGGAACCTAGTAAACAACACTGTGTGGACAGTCTCAGAATTTTATAAAAAGGAAAATGAGGGTTTCTTTGTGATCATTAATTATGAGCCTGTTCGACAGGAAATGTTAAATACCCTTATGACAGCTCTCATTTGAGTGAGGCAAAGTACAAACAAAGAAAACGGTATAGGATAGACAGACAGGGATGAGGGGAGGGATCCCTTACAGTAGGCAGTGGTCCAAGGGAACTAGGGTGAGGAGTAAGGGGAAGTAAGCAGAATAATGGCATGCCAGGTACAGGAACCAATACCCCCAATCAGTGAGCACATCATGCACCCCAGGCTGACAAATAACAGCGGCAAGTATGATAAAGGGGTCGGGGAGCCGGTGGGGGTGGGACAGAGGGGATGAAAAGAAAAGTGTAAAAAAAAACGAAACTGAAATATGTGCATGTGACTATACCCAAGATGACTGCAAACTTCATGAATCGCAAACATGTAGCAATAATAAATAAATACATCTTACATGTTTTTTTTTACAAAAAGGATGTGAAGTTTCTGGGAATTTGATGACTCTTTTGATCGTTCAGTTTGGAATTTATACAGGGAAAACAAAGGAGGACAATAATGACCTTAATCCCCCGATCCTCACTTACTTCTTTCCTATCAATTCCCTCTAAGTTTTCCCTCTCCCTCCTTTTCCCTTCCCTGCACACTGCAATTAACTTCCTTGTCCGCCCCGTACCTCATATTGAGTGATGACCCCGTTGGGATCCAAAGGTTCTTTCCAGTTCAAGAAGATCTTGTTTTCGAAGGATGTTCCCTGGAGGGATTTGACTGGGACAGGGCCAGGCACTACAAACACACAGATTTGGGATTATCAGAATGCTTACGTCAGGCAGAAGAAGCAAATGAACAACCTAGATAAACAATTGAAAATACAGATATAAAAATACATATGAATTGAAACAAATACAATGTCCTTAAAAAGAAAAAGCAGTATTTTGCTTCGACGCTAACCAAGGGGAACTCGAAGTCAGTCTGTAAGTTCTTCAAGCAGAAAACACAGAAATATTTATTTCTATTCAAAAGAATATTCTATCACCTCAGAGAGTTGCATAAATTATGTAGTCTAGTAGTCTGGTTTTCTCTGTTGTACACCTTTCATGCCATGAAGATTTTATTTGTAATTTGTTTTCAAGAACAGAGATGTATCTCCCTGACAGACTTTTTGAAGACAGGATAATCCCCTAATGAGTCTTCATAAACAGAGTTCATAAAATAATGAATTCTAATAATTAACACTCCTTGAGATCAAAAGCCAAATCACATGGCACTGAATTGAAATTCCCCTTAATAATCATGCTTTTATAGGGCTGTATATTAAATTTTCAATAATTAAAAAACAGTACTACAATCATTTTTAAAGAATTGTTAATGAGTAGTAGGTTCCAATGTTACTGTTTCAGTCTTTTAAATTATACATATATATATATATATATATGTTTTTTTCTTTTGCAGCCAAACTCGGACCATCAAGCTTGTTTAAAGCCCAATCCTAATGATCTGTGCAGTATGAGCTTCTGGCTGGTTTTGGCTGGCACTGCTAGGGACTGAACTCAAGGGTCTTTCCATGCTAGGCAACTGGTCTATCACTGTGCTCTACCCTCACCCTGGTCCTTAACATCAAATGTCCTAACCGGCAAAATATAGGCCCATGCCTAGTGACGTGTCCACTCAACTTGCCAAAATACAAGACACATTTATATATTTCATTTAAATACCGGCCCGCTATTTGTCACCACACATGTGGAAATGCTCATTGTATGGAAATGCTCATAGACTGTGTGGCCTACTTGGTTTAAATACTGACTTCCTTTTGAAAATATCAATCCACTATTTGGCACTTTGGGTTTCTAATTAATATTTTCTCTTAATCTAACATTTCAGTGAACTTCACACATGACATTATCCAGAAATGTCGTTTCAAAGGATAGGGCAATTTTGTGAGGATTGAAATAAATTAAAAATCACCAGATCAAAGGAAATGCTTGCTTCATGGCTAGCAGCATCAAGAAATTCAGAATGATATGTCAAAAATAGTGAGATGTATTTCAGTCTACAAGGAGACTAAGAATAATGTACTGACTTCTGAGACAGGTAACGTAATTTGACCTGTTAATCATAAATTCTCAAAGAACAGTAACTCACCGCAAACACAAACCATGTCATGACTACACTGCTGAAGATACCATTCTTGCTTTTTGATTTGAATATTCACTTCCTTTTAAAAATACCAATCCACTATTTGGCGTCCATTTATGCCTGCTCCCTGGCCTCCGTTTACCTATTTAGTCTATCTAGGCTGATCGGTGGGGACAGCTGCTCACTGAGGCTGAGGTGGTCGTTGCTTTACTTTGCAAGGGAGTAGTTGTTGCTTCCATTCTTCTCAAACGACAGCTTATGCTTGTAATTATAGGGGAAAAAAATTCTTGTTTGCTGTATTTCTCTCATAGAAGGTGGCAGATGGAGGCAGGCGGAGGCAACAACCTCGAATTGCGAGCAAATGTTTATTTGATGGCATGATTATAACTGCCTGTGTTCACCCACCACAATTAGGCCTGTAAATGTGCTATCAAATGACATCAACCTATGTCTGATTGTTCCCGAGTGGAGAGGGTTTAAAATTCTTGCATAATTCTTCACCGCAAGAAGGACTGAACTAAAAGGCCTTGGAATCTCTCTGTTTCTGTGCCCTTCCCACATGTGATCGACCTCACCGACAGAATTTACTTCAAGTCTCTGCAGGTCGCATTTCTATGTGGGAAAATTATGGACACAGAAGGGCCATGCTATTAGATCTTTCCTGGAAGCAGTGGAAGGGGGGAATACACAACTGCACTTCAGTGAACAACACACACATAAATAGTGTGGGTGAGGCGTGGGTGTAGACCACGAATCTTCATTGACTGTCTGCTTTGGAAGGGAGGTGGCGTCTATCTGTGCAGTGGCGAGGCATCACCCACTTAGGATTTGTGGGATACAGCACCACATTACTGAAGCTATCTCAGGGCAGCCTACAGACTGCAGGGAATGCCACTTCACATTCTCACATCAACAGCTTTTAATGGAGACAGAATGCTGACCTTTGTCCCCTCCTCACGATTTATATAAGAGCTGTTTCAGCTAATGTGTTTGACTAGAAGAGAGTCATCCAAAATATCTCCCAAAATGGAGAAGAAAGGACAAAAGGAAATGCAGGTGGGGAGAGATTCCATTAAATAAGCATTACAGTCTTTAAAATGTAATAAATGTACATTTAAAAATAGCTCTGTATTCTCAAAAAATGTCCCCAAACCAGACTTTTCTGCTGAACTAACTTCATAATATTGATTTTCTTGGATGCTGGAATAAAAAATGACAACAAAATCTCATACAAAAAATTCTTCCCATGCATTAAAAAATGTGTGCAATAAATTAAATGCAAATTCTACCTTAGGGCTCTGGAGGGAAAGTGTTCTGGCTTTGCCGTCATGATTTATAGATGTCCCACAATTCCCTTCATATAATTATGTCCTTTTATTAGATGACTGATAATTTATTCTCTTCCTATGTATATAGGGCAGTAATAATTTAGTAAGACTGATTTAATCAGACTACCATAACCCATCGATCTCTGCAACAATGGCTATGATTTAGATATTCTTTCCCCCCTGGAAACATTAAGACACATCAAGTATTCTATCTTGAAACTGAAGCTCATATGGACAGATTTGAAGACTGACTTACTTACAAATATGTCAAACAACTTTATCCATCAATCACTGAAATACTATACATTAAAAACGTATGCATGGTAGAAGGGATTAGTTAGTTTGCAAACCTATGGTAAAATAGTAATAATAATGCAATTTAAGACAATTAACACAAGGACGAGTTCTTCAAAGCAGAAGTTAAGAATAAATGTCTCAAAATAGTATTAAAATTCAAACTCACAGCTAACGTTATTTTACTTGTAAAGCTATTTCTGGCTAAAATAAATATGACAGTCATGAATTGATTCAATTTACAGTAAGATTCCACAGAGATTAATTTTCTGACTATTAGTACAGTCATTTGTTTACCCAAAAACGCGATTAAAAGACTTAATGCAACATGAAAAAGATGATAAAAGTATGATTGCATGCTTTTGTTTGCAGGAAAGTTAACTAACAAAGCATATCAAAGAGTACTGTCAAGATAAATTGTGTTGTTACAGGGTGATTGGCTAAGAAAAGTACAAAACTCCTAACTGAGTCTAATGTTACCAATTAAGAAACCATGTTTTGGAATTTTAAAAGGAGGCAATAAAATATGTAAGTACACTCATTACTAACAACATGAGGCGCTGGAACATTTATCTCACTTTACAAGAAGAGCTAGAGATACTTTGGAGCATTTGACTCTATGTTTAGATTCTATTGTCCATCTGTGAATTAATTACCTAAGTCACTTTATTTTTTGGCATAAACTATTGTTGACTTGTGAGTGTTCAAAAGCCATTATGATGATGGCAGTGCATGTTTTCCTGTTTCTATATGAGGCTAGGGTTTGGACACAAATATTGCTGCCATATTAGTGAGGAAAAGCTCAAACATACTAGCGGAGAGAATCACGTTTGAGTTTATCTAACATACCAAAACTACCTTCGTCATTGTTAAGTCCTATGTTCATTCTCTGAAATTTTAGTAACATGAGAATACCACACTTCGTTTTAAAACTACATTAAATATTTCCTCCTAAATCTGAGCTAAATGAAGCAAAAAAAGTTTCACTTCTGTTTATTGCAAGAAAGCAGCATAAAAAACCTGAGTCATTTTCACTTTTTTGGAGTACGAGAAATTGAAATAATACAAGATATTTCCGGAAGCTGTGGCATATTAACCTATTTCATGGCAATCTCACACTCAGTAGGCATCAAAAGACTTATCTGATCCTGACTTTCTGAACAGGAGGTATCAGGGATGGAAATGTAGAGATTGCCTGGTTTAACTCCCTCCTTTAGAGGTGAGCAGAAGAGCACCCAAGAGGTGAGAGGTCTCCTTGAGGATGCAGAGTGATGGAGGCCAGGACTTCACCTTTAGGACTCTGTCCCCTGTTAGCTTTGCCTCAGCTCACTCTATACCTGTCTTTATTTTTCCACATGCCTCCATTTATAAAAGAAACAAAAATGAAGCATATCAAAAGAATGCATTACTGTTACTATTAGAATACTACTATTTATAGGTTTTTGTATCCGTTTGGGTTGAATCAGGAAATAAATTCATATGTACATTAAAGATGTACTATTCTACTAAGTGTATGGGTGGACATCACAATTTAATATAAACATTTATTATTATTAAATTTAATTATTCAGATGTAACACATGGAACCTGGACAACACAGTTCACTTGCTTAGATATTAATATGATGTATAAATAATGGTAGCCTGCTAATACCTAACAAAGGGTTTTATTTAGGCTTACAGGTATTCATATACTGGTCCCTATGAGCCTTCTAAAAGTGAATAAAAGAGGTAAACAATTACTTTCAAGTATTTTCAAATGCTGTGAAAACCAAAGTTTCTAAAATGCAAAAACCTAAAATGTGTTGAGTGAAATTTTCCAGTAAGTAACATGGATAGTGATGAACAGTTTTTAACATTTGGTAAGAGAAAATCTATTTACACTTTTGGTGTGGTTGTCACTTCTGTGTCACTGTTAATAAAAGAAGAAAATAGAGGTATGTTTCATTTAGATTTCAGCTTGCTAACGGCAAACTTTTAACAGTATGTTGAGATACTTCAGCAGACTTCAGAATCCAATTCAACCCTGAGTAATCTAGGAAAAAATTAAGAAATTATGTTTTGCTGTGTAAGTGGTGCTTTTCCAAACACCCAAAAGCGAGCATACCGTCTTCATCAGTTTGAATCACTGTCTCTTCACTCTCCTTCCTTCCTTCCGGGTTGGTTAGGATCATCTTGAGGCTGACGTTGGTGTATGGGGGCAGATGGTCCACGACATGCTGAGGGGCTTTGGGGTCCATGTCCAAACAGTCTGCCTTGCTCTCATTGTGACCACGGAAGTAATGGTAGCAGATGGTGACATTAAAGGTGTGGCAGCGAGTGATGTTGTAACCTAAGGATTCCCAGTCCACAGCAATGCGTCTCGCCTGGATTTCAGCAATCTTTAAAGTCTTTGGTGTTCGCATAGGTTCTGAAAAAGAAATCACAGTTATAGAGGGTTGTCAGTTTTACCACAAACGATCTTGGAAATGTAGAATGCTGAGCACTTACGCAAAGCCAGGAAAATGTGGACAATCATCTTTCATTTTAATTGTCTTTATTCACGGTCTTTATTTTTGAAAATTTCAATCAGGGCTATGATTTACCAATGAGAAAAGAAATAATATGCAAAATGACTATCTACAGTAGTCAGAAACTTGGCAGCAAAATAAAAAGCCTAGAAATGTAGCTACAATGTCTTGGTAGTTGTCACTGTTGATCCTGCCCAGTGCCCTGTCTTTCTCCTCTTTTGTCACATTGAGCCAGTGAATTAGCTAATATATCATAAAGGAGAAGAGTCAGCTTGTTCTGCTCTATGATTTGTCACGTCACTGAGCTATGGTGTGTACTAATTAGTCTAATTGTAACACTAAACTACCATTTACAAAAAATGACACAGATATTAATTAACATTAATTATTGCAGTAATGATGTTGTTCATCAAAGCCAAAGAAGAAAATTAGAAACAATTACAAGAACACATGTGGATATGTACATTGTCTACTTCTCTTCTTAATCTCATTTTGAATTTTTCTAGAAAACACTCACATCTAATGACACATTTACTGTCATCCACACCAAACTGGGGGGTAAATTTTCATTCAACTGGAAAATGTTGGCACAGTGGAACACTTGGACGAGTGGAATCCATCCATCAGTGACTCCCATGTGTGTTACTTCCTCATGCAAGACTAACTTTCATTGTCAAACTTAATCAAAATAATTGCTGTATGAAAGTCATAGAAACTATGACTATAGGAATAGCAAAGTCTGCAGAGTAATGAAATCAATACACAGCAAAACTTCAATACATTGATCTGACAAAAAAAAGCTAAGGCCAAGGCCAAGATCAAGAGCTTGCTGGGGCCTCCCTTAATCACTGAGTAATCAATACTCATGCTAAATGGTAATCAATAGGGAAAAAAGAAAAACAAGTAGAAATTTCCATATTGGATATTTTCATACACTTTTATTTTTGAGATTAAAACCTAAATTCTATATAGGTAATCAGCATGCTACACAGATGGTAAACCCAAATTTGGACTCCAGTTCAGTGTATTTACTGTGGAATCTGAAATAAGTTCTGGTGGCCATTTAATTCAAAAGCTCAAAACTACAAAAATCTGTATCCATAAACATAAGCTAACCTTTGGGAGAATGCAGTGTTTAGCTTTTAAATGTTATTTACCGGTTTTAGGACTATTTAGAATATCCAGCTTTAATCTCAACACTTCTGTTTTATATGCTACCTTAAGTTTGTGGATAGCCTGGAGAAAACATGACTTCTGTTAAATTGCTTTCTGTCTTTAACCTCACATTTTCATTCGCAGCAAGAGCGAAACGGTGATGATTCAATTTAGGCTCCTTAGATTGAAGACTATGTCCTTGGCATTGCTGTTCATCAGCTGGACAGGGAGTTATAAGAACAACCCTAAAAATTCCCAGAAAATATAGAATTTGGTGCTGGTAGATTACAAGCATTTTCTGTTCTCTGGCCACATCCACGTTGTGTCACACTTTGTTTTAAATATACCCAGAAATGGGAACTTAGCTCAGTGGTGCAAGTACCTGCCTGGCAAGCTCAAGGTCCTGAAGATCCCCAGTACCAGAAAAAAAGCATCCAGAATGAGAAAGTAATCTTTCCCTCTGAGACTACCTGGAGTACATAAATGAATAAATTCAATACAGAAATGGCAAAATATTCCAATAAATATTTACTATTTATGTAGTATTTGAGGCCTACTATTTATGTAATTGTTTCTACAGACCCATCCTTTATTTTTTCATTTTAAAGGGAATAAATAATAAAACAAACCAATAAAAATACAGAATTTCTTCAATTGTCCCTTACACAAAGGACTTCTATCTACAACATATAACGAATTCAAAAAAATTAGGACACCAAATTCAAAGATCCAATCCAAAATTGGGCATCTGACATGAAAACAAACTCCTCAGATGAAGAAATTGAAAAAAATGTTTATCACTGGTTATTCAAGAGATGCAAATTAAAACCACATTGAGATTCCCTCCAGAAACAATAGCTACCATCAAAAAATCATTCAATAACAAATACTGGCGGGGCTCTGGAGGAAAAGGGAACCGTCTCCATTGTTGGTGAGAGTGCAAACTATTGTAACCACTGTGGAAATCACAGTGTGGAGATGCCTCAAAAAACTAAGATTAGAGGTCCCATTCAATTCAACTATTCTCCTTCTAGGCATTTTTCCAAAAGAATTGAAAATATCATACTACGGCAATACACGTGCAGCCATTTTTATAGCAACACAATCTGTAATCACTAAATTTTGGAAAAAACCCAAACACTCATCAACTGAGGAATGGATAAAAAAAGATGTGGTATTTTTGTACAGTGAGCACTACTCAGCTATAAAGAAGGATAAAGTTGAGGCATTTATAGATAAATGGATGCAACTAGAGACCATACTCAAAAGTGAAATAAATCAGACTTGCATGTGTAAACATTGTATAGTCTCCCTAGTGTAAGAAATGAAAAGAAAAGGTACAATAGATATTGTGAAAGGAAAAGAAAGTGCTCAAAAGGAAAGAACAATTGCAATGGGGGAAAAGAAAAAGGAGGGAATACACACACACACACACACACACACACACACACGATAGATAATTGTACTACTAATTCTATTAGTTCACTGAAAGGGACAATTAATACTTACATTGTTTGATCAATTTTGCATGCCTATGTTTGGTAATCGGAGCAACTATGATGAAGACAAATATATGATAACCATTGTTAATTTCCTATCATCGTGTTTTGAACTTCAGATCCCTCATTTTTAGTTTAACTTTTTTCCCTTTCTATAAGTTTCTTCATTTCTGAGTCTTTCATCAATGTTTTAATTTTGTTTTACTATTCAATTTGCACTTATTTCATAATGTAGTACAATTTTCTAAGACAGGGTAGTTCTTTATTCTTGACTCTTATTTAGTGAAGAGTCAGCCAAAGATACACTTATTACCAGTTATGTAAAAAATAAATAAGGCTCGTCCTGGGAATTTCATGTATTTAAATGTTTCTTACTTTGTCATTAAGGCTTAAATAATCTTTGGACAAAGTTATTGTTACATGTGACTCATATTTTTCTCGAATATGAATGAATATGAATCCCAAATTAAACAAATGTGCAAAGTACCTTTTATTGGTAAAACAGACAAACATGATTCTACTCATAGGACAATAGTTAGAGACATAAACATAAAGTTGAATTCATATTAACATACAGAAGGTTAAGAGATACTATTTATATTTTCTCAACATTGGCTGTGCTTTTTAACCTTTTATCAGCCTTTATTGAGGTAAAACCTTGCATGTGTTTGTGTGTTCATGTTGACACCCCTACACATCCTACATATACATGTACATACATAGACACACATACATACACACACAGTAACACTGCCGTGTGACTTCTATGAAATCCACCTCTATGAAATCTATTAAAAGTAAATGTCATCAGAGGACTCAACAATAAATTTGCCTAAATATCTCAGCTTAATACATTATTTCTAATGTTCTAGCAATAACTGCATTACATTTTGGAGTTAGAATTACATAGATAAAAATTTTAAATTTTATAGCAGGATAATTACTTGAATTGTGACAGAATCACTACAATCAGAAAGCCAATGTGGGAAGACCCCTGTGCTATTAAAGAGCCAGGCACAGTGTGTATTTTGAGAGTTGAATACTTTAAAGAAATGACTGAACAGGATGCAGGGTACATTAAATGGTTGCGGCAAATAATATCTATCACAACGATGATGCAAATCATTGTAGTGATGGTGAACAGTGGGGAACACATATATCAGTGCAGTACCAGCCACATTAGCCTCTTTAATTGTTGACTTTAATATTTTCATGAAGTGTTTACATGTGTGAATTTATATAATTCTCTTTCACTTTGCTGCTAAAAAGAAACTTGCTGGAACAGAATGCTGGAGAAGTTATAGGACATAATTTTATAAGGAAATTGAGGGAAACTGTAATGGAACAAGCTTAACACAGCTTAACATGGTCCTAACCAATGTTGAGACGAAGCTATCCATCATTATGAGACAAAACAGGATGTCTGTTATCAAAAGATCCTAACTCTACTGGGTGATGCCACAGTGAATGAAACATCATGACAGAACTGAAGGAGCTTACCATTTATTTATTAAGTTTCACAAAATAAGAAGCAAAAAAGATCTACAAGTAAACGTATAAGTGACATATGAATGGAATAAAATTCAATAGGAACACAAGAGGGAGAAATAACTTTCACCTGTCACATGGAAGAGATATTTGCATTAAGTCTCTGTAGACTGAGCTAAGATCTATATTTGAAGTTTGGGAAATTAATACAAAAGCAGAGGAAACAGAATGAATAAAAATGCAATGGACAACTGGAAAGGAAGCGCGTGCTCACATGAGAGAGGTGATGTAGGAGAGGTCAGTCAGTAAGACACTGAGTGAGCTTTGGGTGTCTTGGCAGGAGGTTGAACTTGATCTCACAGACTTTGGGAAGGCACGGAGAGTTTCTGGGTCAGGAAATGACCACAGTCAGTTGTTTCAGAAAGACTAACCTGTGGACTGTGGTGAGTGTGGAGACACTGAGAAAAAATGATTCAAAGGACTGCATCTGTGATGGTGGAATCGGGCTTGCAGGGAGGGAAGTGGGAAGCAATGGCGTAGACACACTTTGCTGGAGGAGCAGCAGAAAAGCCCAACAGCAACTTGGATCTGAGGTATGTGAAAGGATCAGTACAGCTAATGTGTTCAGATGGATTGTAAAGAAAATGATGGCTTCCTTAAATACAAGAGAAAAATCAAGAAAGGACACAGACTGAGGTAAAATGACAGAGTAATTAGATCATTTACTTATTGGCCATGAAGTTATTAGGAACTAAGAA